CCACAGATCTGCCCATGAAGAAATCGAGTATGGCCGGAGGTGAACAAGCCATGAACGTGCAGATCCTTTCAACGCCACTGGCAAATAATTCGCTAACGCGTTGTCGTCCGCTCCGGCAGTGTAGAGTACTCTGGAATAGACCTGAAGGAATTCTTCTAGGTCGGTGCTCCAATCATACTTCTCTATTGCTCCCGGTCGGAATCTCTCAGGCCACCGGACATCACGTAGAGCACGGTTGAAAGCTTTACATCTGCCGCTGGGGGTGGTGGGTTGTCGATGATCGTATGTCCTCCGTGGATTTCTGTCTGACAATGAGGATGATGAGGATGATGACGATGACGATGAGTCACTTGGTTCCGGTGTACGATTACGAGGATGACGTCCGGGTTCTCGAGAATCCTGTCGTCGCCTCCCGTTGATGTCCCGGCGACGATCTCCATCGTCATCATCGTTATGGCGGCGTCCTCGACCAGTATCGCCTGGCATCCGCTGTTCGCGATCATCATGTTCGTGGCGGCTGTGGCGGTTATCACGGTCTCGGTTTTCGCTTGGGTGTCCTCCTCGCTCCTCGTTCTCGCGACGTCGTGATGAGACGCGATGTCAGGAATGGTTTTCATTGTCTCGCGCGTGTCGTACTTCTCGGCGGCCATTAAGATGGTCACAAAGATCGCCGGTGCCGCGAGGTGGAGGGGTGTCTTGTCGAGGTGATGTCCGCTGCTCAGGTGGTTCACCATTTGCACCGCTAGCTGGCGGTTGTTCTGGTTTGCTCCGGCAGTGGCCTCCTCGAACGCATTACTGAGATTGGCCACTGATTCCCGTAGTCATTCTGTCCACCGTGTGAGGTCATCGTTCAGAATGGGATCATAAGGGGTTTCCCTCAGTATTGCGTTGATGGCCCCGATGTGCTGGGCCGGTGTAACCACTTGATTCTCCACTTCCGCGTCAGCACGCGCAGACGTGCTGGTCCCGCCGATAGCAAACACATCGCGTGGTGTGCTTGTCGACGATGAGCCCTGCTGTCACACCCTGAAGTTCTTTCCCAAGCCTAAATTGAATTTATAATTCACCAGAAAAAATATCGGTGTAAAAGCAAGAGTAAACCCTAATAAATCAATGCAATTAATAATCGGAATTGGCATGTGGAATTTTTCTTGAGTTCTACATGTCGAAATTTGCTAACAAGATTTTTAGTGGAATTTTCAGAGCCCTAGAAATAATTTTAACCAATTAAAATTGAGCACATGCAATATTTAATTCCCTGGAAAATTCTTTTCCTCCTTTTTCTTTCTTTTTCCCTCCTTTTTCTTTTCGGAATAGGTCGCCGGCCCATTCTCTCTTCCCACCCCTTTCTCCCGCTGGGCCGGCCGACAGGCCGAGGCCCAGCTGAGCCGGCGGCCTCCCTCTCTCTCCCGGGGTCACTGACAGGTGGGGCCTACCTGTCGGGTCCTCCCCCAACCTCCAGCCACCGCCACCGCGCCCGCAACCGCCGCCGCATCCACGCTCCCGCCTCCTCCGGGCCACGTCGGCCACGCCCGCGCATGCGCCGCGTCTCCCGCACCCACTCCCCATCCCTCTCGCCCGTGCCCGCACCCGAGACGGCCGGGATTCGAAATTCAAATCCCACCTCTCTCTCCACCTCCACCTCCCCACGTCGGCCGGCGAAATCGGGCCACTCCCGGCCGTTCCCGACCTCTCCGCCCCTATAAAATCCATCCCCGCATCCTCCTCCTCACTTTTCCTTTTTCCGCCGGCCCCTCCCGAGCTCTCCATCGCTCCCGCATCGAGCACCCACCCGCCGCCGCCTCTCCCGCTACTCCAGCCACCTCTAGCCGCCGCTAGGTTCGCCGCTGCACCGCGCCACCGCCGCTGTTGGGTTCGCGTGGCCGAGGTCCACCTCATCCACCCCTCCTCCGTCGAGGTTCGCCGCCGGAGCCCCATCCCCGTCGTGCGCCGGTGAGAGACGCCATGGCCGCCGCCTTCGGCCGGCGTTCCCGCCCTCTATGGTCTCTCTCTCCCTCTCTAATCCTCTCCATTTCGTTCCTTAGGTCGTCCCGGACCTCCCTCCGTCGCCCCTCGTTGCCGGTCGCCGCCGTCTCTCTCCACGCCGGTCGGGCCCCCTTCGGTGAGGACATTTCCCCTTCCCCTTCCTTCTTCCTCCTCTCTTTTCCGTGGTAGCACCGCCGCTTAGCCGTCGTCGCGCCGCCGCCGTCTGCCGAATCGCCGCCGCCGTCCGCCGGTCGCCGCCGGTGCCGCGCTGCAGCGCCATGGCCCCGGGTCAGCTTGAGCCGCCCGCGCGCGCCGGCCGCGAGCTCCCCGCCGCTGTCCGATCAACCCTTGGGTAGGGTAGATCGGGGCTGTCGGTTCGGCTGCCGCGTGTGCGCCGCGTCGGCGCCACGTGTGCACCACGTGGTGCGCCGCTCCTTCCCGGTCCGCCGTGGACCGCCCTCCTCGAGTCACTGCCATATGGGGCCCGCATGTCGGCGCCGCCCCCTCTCTCTCCCCGGGATTTATTTATTGCGCAATAAATCAATTAAGGATTTTTCTGTTTATAGTAAAAGCACATTTAATCTTCTAAAATTCATATCTAATTCATCCGAGCTCCGTTTAAGCCCATTCAAGTCTCAGTAAATAAAGAAAAATGTGTAGAATCCATTAAAAATGGTTTTGTTCTCCGTTTCAGTAGTCTTATAGCCTGTTTGTATTGTTTGCTTTGTATGTCGCTTAGATTCAGGCTTCCCCGACGCTCCGGTGTACTTTGAAATAGTCGCCGGGTCCCTCTAACCGCAGAGCAAGGCAAGTCATGCTTGTCACTTGAACATGTTGATCCTATATTGCAAATGTTCTATTGTTTTTCTTCAAATATTGCATTGTTTTACAATAATACTATGGGATGTTGACCTACTGTCATAGCCATGCTATTTTGTACCATGTTCCTTTGTTAGCTTGGGATATAACATGACTAGAGATTGGACTAGGGAATGCTTAGCTTTGCTTAGTTCAACTAGCACACAATGGGGGACTACATTAATGCAGAGATATCAGATTCTAGGAATGATGTTGGTTAATGCTCACCGCTCCGGTGTTGGTTAATTAAAATATAATAAATGGTGGGCCGTGGGTGCATGGTTTTGATGGTCGCGCCCATGGCACTTAAGGACCGGTTCGCGGGAAACCCTAGAAGAATTCCTTGTACTTACCACAAGCCAGCGTGGGCAACGGCTGGGCTTGTAGTGTAGCTTTCCTCTAGCCGACGCATCCAGGCAAGGGTGGGCGTGATGGAGTGGGGCGTCCCCTGCGACGGCCTCTGTCACTTCCGGATTCACCTAGGCACGAGAGGGGACTGCCCGTTGCCCACTGGGGACGGGGGTGAAACCTGAGGTGTGGTGTGCTTGGTTAGAGGGGGTTATGCGAAGGATCCTGTCACGGCCTCTTTCCGGTATGTCGTGGTGGCATGTCGGCGCACGGTAACGTGTTGTGGGGCTGTGTCTTGTGGGTACAGTTGTACACCTCTGATCAGAGTAAAACTATTCGAATAGCCGTGCCCGCGGTTATGGGCGGTCAACCAGATTCACCATGATTAGCTTCACCCTAGTGTAGTCTGTTGGAACTGATTAGTTCAGGTGGATGGTTGGGCCTGTTGCAACGTGGTGTAGCGTTGAACAGTGGATGGTTAATATTGATTAATTATTACAGCTGTTTTACTGCTTTCAACTTCTGTTTATAAATGCTCGCTTTATGCAAATGAACCATTATAGCTATCCCTTGATAATTCCCTGCATCATACCCCTATTCCGGTATGACTTGCTGAGTACAGTGGGTAGTACTCAGTCTTGCTCTATTTTCCCCAAACCCCAGAATTTGAGTATGCGTCAGATGGTGGTCTTTCCGAGGAGTAGGCTTCGCCCGTGCCGTCGAGGATGCCTGTGGAGTGGTGTTCCCGCTGCAAGTCCAAGTCAAGGCTTAGCTCCAGTTATCCTTTAAGTTTTCCGCTGCATTTTTGTAAGACTTTTATAATGTTTGTAAGACGTGGATCTGTATGTCAACTTTGTCGTTTGTGTACCCCGGATGGTCCTGGACGGGGATTTTAATGCACATTCTGCTTGGAATTCTATTCGGGAATTTCTGGGCGTGACAAGTTGGTATCAGAGCCGACCTTGACTGTAGGACAAGCCAAATGGAAAAACCTAAGAGCCCTCTGAATCCTTTTCATTGCATATGTTCTTTGCAATTGGATTTGTTCCTGGAAAAATTGGGATTTGTTCTTGTGGTTCAAGGGAAAAATCTTGGTCGCTCGTTTAAGTGAGATTTGTCAAAACAAGTCAGTCTAGGGTTTTAGTAAAATTACTTGAGATTTATTCGACAGTCAGTCGGGATTTGATGGGAGGAATGCATTAGGTCCTAACTCAGGAATATGGGTTGCAAGGTATTTATGCTCTTATTATTATTAGTAGTATGTAAGTCCATCTTATTTATTCGCCCTCGTGCAAAAATGATCTATGCATAAAATTCCGCTCTTATTCGCGTATTTAATTGGAGTCTTTTACTGCTTCATTTAAGTCGGATTTGAGCATGCATTGATCCTACCCCTTTGTCTTCTCTAGATGGCCGATCACCCACCCAACCATCGCGGAGAAGGCATGGATGATTTTGTGGCAGAGTTGGCTCGCATGACACTGGTGGTGGGCTACCCCAACGCGCCAGAGTACTCAACTGTTCCGCCGCTCAGTGGTGAGTTTCCTCACCGGGTTCGTCTGGAGGTTCATGGCTATGTGGGTACCTGCCTCGCTAACATGGTGGTTGAGGCATCTGGAGGCACCGCAGATCACGCCTGTCAGGAGGCGGCATACCTGATGATGGCTAGACTACGTGAGCGCCACAACTACATCTTCTGCAACACAGCGTACCGTTTCCACCCTCGTCGAGCAAGTGGCGATGATATCAGCACTTTCTGTCCGACAGCCGGCGAGAACGACACCACCTTAGGTCATATGTGTGCCGTGATGAGGGGAATGGACAAGATGCACTCGGATGACGGGAAGCTCATGAGGATCATAGCTCTGAAGGATGAGATCGCACGCCTGAAGAAGGAGAATGCTCAGTTGAAGGGCCTCCCCATTCCCGGAGGAGTCCGGATCCGCAACATGCCCCGCAAGTCAACGACTGCACCCGTGCGCATTCAGCTTGCGCCCAGGAACCCACCTCCGCCCGCAGCTCCTGCAGCTCCTCCAGTTCTGCCCGCAGTTCCCGCAGCTCGAGCAGCTCTAGCTCCAGTCCCAGCTCCTGCCCCAGTGTCAGCTCCCGCGTCCGCTCTCTCCTTCGCTCCAGCATCAGCCGTCAGGGGCCCAGCCAGTGGCAACGGGGGTTGGTTGCCTGCTACTCCCAGTGGCAGCCGCAACCACATCAGCAGCAGTTCGAGTGGCTCAGAGCTGGGCCAGATTCCAGGAGCAGCTCAGAGGGACCTGGCGATGAGCAGGAGGACACCTTCGACTCCACCGACCGCAGGAGCCATTCCGAGCATTAGGCTTGTTTTCCCTTAGTTTATCGACTGCTTAGTACTTGTCTGTTAGTTTGAGTGTTTAGGTCTGTTCGCTTGGGGGTCAGTCGACGGTCGATATCATGTGCCTATGATATGGCTGTCTTAATAAGGATTTGCTTGTCGTTTTAAGTGTTTTAAGTCAAATCAGAACAATTGCAGTTTACATTCCTATATAATAAAGCTTAGTTCCGGAGCATCTGTTTTTCTTCTTTGCCCCCCCCTCCGTCTGCTCTTCCTTCAGATGGTCTACACCAGGAATGGTAGCCGTACAGCAGGCGAGGGCAGCAACGGCGAAGAATGCACTGACGGTGTGCATCCCAACAGCGACTCCAGCAATGGTCCGCTACCGCTCCCCGAGAATCCGGCTCTGGCCCAAGTAATGGCTCATCAGACTCAAGATGATGGCAGCCATGATGCAGCAGATGCACCAGAGGATGCAGCAGCAAGCCGAGCAGCAGCAGCAGCAGTTTGGTCCCCCTCCCCCTCAGTCCAAACTGCCGGAGTTTCTACGCGTCAGGCCACCCACCTTCTCTAGCACCACCAACCCTATGGAGGCGAATGACTGGCTCCATGCCATAGAGAAGAAGCTAAATCTCCTGCAGTGCAATGATCAGGAGAAGGTCGCCTTTGCCACACACCAGCTCCAGGGTCCCGCGTCAGCTTGGTGGGACAATCACATGGCTACCCGCCCGCCAGGCACGGAAGTCACTTGGGCAGAGTTCTGTCGCAGCTTCAGGAAGGCGCAGGTGCCAGACGGGGTTGTGGCACAGAAGAAGAGGGAGTTCCGGGCACTCCACCAGGGCAACAGGACAGTGACTGAGTATCTCCATGAGTTCAATCATCTAGCGCGATATGCACCGGAGGATGTCCGCACTGACGCCGAGAAGCAGGAGAAGTTCCTAGCAGGCCTGGATGACGAGCTAACCAACCAGTTAATCTCTGGAGACTATGCCGACTTTGAGAAGCTGGTTGACAAAGCAATCCATCAGGAGGATCAGCGCAACAAAATGGACAGGAAGAGAAAGGCAGCGCAATTCCAGTCCAACCAAGGAAGCCACCAACGACCGCGCTTCACTCCCGGACAGCAGGGTGGACCTACCACTATGATTGTCCGCCAGCACCGCCCGTTCAACTCAAGCGGTTTCCACCAGGGCGCCAGTGGCAGCCAGAACCACCAGGGAGGTCAGCCCCAACCGCAATGCAGCTCCGCGCCCACCAATGGCACCAGCACAGTCAGCTCCATCCACCCAAGCCAAGAAGGAGACTGGAACAAAGCCAGGGTCCTGCTACAACTGAGGCGAGCATGGCCACTTTGCTAACAAATGCCCGAAGCCAAGGCGTCCCGGGCCAAGGTTTGTCCAGGCTCGTGTCAACCACGCGTCCGCAGAGGAGGCGCAAGCAGCACCAGAGGTCGTACTGGGTACGTTTCCTGTTAACTCAATCCCTGCAACAGTACTTTTTGATTCTGGTGCAACGCATTCGTTCATTTCAAGGAAGTTTGTTGGGATACACGGGTTAATAAGAGAAGAACTTAGCACACCAATGCAGGTTCATACCCCAGGGAATAGCTCCACTTCGGTTCAATTCAGCCCCTCTATAACAATAGAAATTCAAAGATCACCATTTCTAGCCAACCTCATTCTTCTCGAATCCAAGGACCTAGATGTTATTCTTAGAATGGATTGGCTGACCAAGTTTAAGGGTGTCATTGATTGTGTGAATCGCACAGTCACCTTGACCAATGAGAAGGGAGAAACCATGGTGTACAAGTCACCAGTCTCACTGTCACGCCCGAAAATTCACTAGTAATTTCCGAACTTATTTGTGCATAAAATCCTCGTCCAGGAATCAGCCGAGGTACACAAACTGACAATTTAATATACAGATTCATCAAATTAACTAAAACGATAAATACTTACTTAAGAGGAACTTAGTCCTCACCATGAAGAAAACTGCAGCGGAAAATAAAATCTAGCGAAGCTCCGGCTCCACTCCCACAGGCAGCTCAACTGGGGTATAAGCCAAACGTCTTCTCCTCCTAGATCCTTTTTCTTCAACTGAGGTTGATTGATTATTGCAAGAATGAGCATATGACATACTCAACAAGCCACACAGCAAATATGCAAGTGCACAAGGATACCAAAGGATGGCATAATATAGGCTCATTTGCAAAAGCAGCATTTAGCAAAACATTTAAGAGAAATAAAACAGTGGAGTAATTAATCAGAAATTTTAATCAACACTGAACAACACACCCATGCTGCACAGGCCCAACCATCCTGAACAACCATACCCGGCTGTACAGATCTAACTCTAAACCAGGAGCTAAGCAAATTATTACCAGGTATAACATCCATAATTATTGTGAGAGGTGTGAGACTAATCATGAAAAATATTGCTCAACCCGCCCATAACCGCGGGCACGGCTATTCGAATAGTTTTACTTTGGCCAGAGGTGTACCACTGTACCCACAAGACACAGTCCCACAACATGTCACCATGTGCCTCAATACCACCACGGTACCTCGGAAAGGAGTTGTGACAATACCCCTTGCACAACACAATCCACCACAGCGCACCTTTCCTGGATCATAATCACCCCCTTATAAACAAGGCATGGACTCCCCAGCGACCCCTGTGGGCTTATCTCCGCCACTTCTCAGTCTGGTGCTCCGCAATGAATCATGCTATACAAAAGGTAAAGCCGTTGCCCACGCTGGCTTGTGGTTGGCACGGTTAATGTTTCACAACAGTAGCTCGCGAACCGGTCCTAAATTGTCATGAGCACGACTCTCAAAACCATGTGCTCACAAGCCACCATTATCAAGTTTTAGTTGGCAAGTAATTAATTAACCAATCACGATTGACCATCGTGAACTATCATTAAGCCATCATTAAATAATAATGAGTCATAAGTAATCCCAATAGTGTGCTAATGTTTCTAAGCATGGCTAAGCAATCATATCTAATATCTAGCTGAACCAATATATATAGCTCAACTAGTCAAGTTATAATAACCCAAGGTATCAAGGAATAAAGTAATCAATGCAAACAGGCCATAACAAAGGAATAGATTCACACCACCCAGTGACATTCGAAAATAAATGCACAGTTGAAATAAATAGAGAATTTAAATACAGGATCAACATGCTCAAAGGATTGTGTTTAGGATCTGTGTGACTTGCCTTGCAATAATCGGTCTTCAATTAATCTTCTTGAATACTTCCGGCGTACTCACGAACCTTCGCAACGACGGAAACGACAAGCTAACACGCAAAACGAAGAAAAAGACTAATAAAAACCAAATAAACAATACATAAAAAGTAAACAAACATGTAGATCATAATTTTAGATGAATTATGAGACTTGAACGGCCTCATTCTGACTTCATATGAATTTATTATGAATTTTACAAGATTAAATCTAATTAAAGCCCATTTAAAAAGAATTAAATAAATTTAATTCAATTTATGGATAATTTTAATATGTAGATCTTTATTTTATACAACTTTTGCAACTTGAACCACATTAAACTGAGTTACAATGAATTAGTTATGAATTTTCAAAGATTAAATCGGATTAAAACACTTGTGTGGATTTTAATTGAATTATGACGCAATAAAGAATTATTTTTGAAAAGGAAAAGGGAATTATTGCGTCATCAAAGGCGGTCCAGGTGCACGGGGCGGTCTAAGGAAACGAACGGCCGTGATCGATTCTATCCAAAACGGGCGGCCGAGATCAACTTGATCTACCGCGGTTCACGGGACAAGGCGACGATGACGTCAGCGGTGACGTCAGCGATGACGTCATCACCGGCGACGGCTCGGCCTCGCGCGCTCGCCAGCGAACGACGGCGCAACGACGCAAACGGAGGACACCAACGGGTAGAGGACAACACGGCGAACTCACCGGTGACCAAAACCACGGCGGAAGAGCAACGGACGGCGCCGGCGACGAGGAAGAAGCGGCGACGGTCTTCGGGTCGACGGTGACGGCGGTGCTCCGGCGGTCTTCTGCGGCGGCGAAGAGGTGGACGGGGACGGTGACGACCTCGCGATCCCGATGGTGGCGACGGCGACCGACGACGGCGGCTGCAACGGCGGCGCGGCGTGGCTGAACCGACGGCAACTACAGCGACGGCTAGGGCTACGCGGAGGCGGCGCTAGACGCGACGGCGGGCTAAGGCAAAGGTGGCGGCGGATAGAGGAGAGCTCGGGGGTGCTTATAAAGGGGCTAGCGAGCGGCGATGGAGGCCCACGGCGACCGGCGGCAAGATGGAAAGCTAGGGTTGGAGGGAGAAAAGTCGATCCGAATCGAGCTCAAATCCGTCGATTTCCAAACGTTATTGACCGAAGTTTCTATAAGAGAAAAGGAAGAGGAGATCGAGGAGATTATTTCCCCTCAAACAATTTCACCAGAAACGGAAAGGATCGACCGGATTGAAAAGCGGCGGCGGCTAGGGTTTCGGCCGGCAGCGGCGCGAGGAGGAAGACGGGCCCGACAGGTGGGGCCCACCTGTCAGCGGGAGAGAGAGAGAAGAGAGCGGCGGCTCGGTTGTGGGCCGACTTGGGCCAGGGAGGGAGAGAGAAAGAGAGAGGTTTTGGGCCGGCTTTCGGCCCAAAGCCAAAAGGAGGATTTAAAAACATTTTTCTATTTAAATTATTCATGAAATGATATTCCATTGATTAAAAATACTTCCTTGGCTCAAATAAATCCCAGAAAAATCTAGGAACTATAGAATCAAGTAAAGTATTTAACAAAATTTTATCTAACCCAATTTTATATTGAGATTTAGCAAATTAAAATTAGATCTTCTCTTTTAAGATCATTTCTAATTATTCCTTTTAAACAACAATTTATAATTTAAGGATTTTTAAACAAGAAAAGCTCTTAACAATTATAATTAGATCATTATTGATCAAATAATTACTGAACTGTTCTTTGTATCATTTAGGAATTGAGCTCTGAAAAATCCGAGAAAATTTCAGAGAGTTGACT